GCAATATAAAATATTGAAACTTCCACGCGTGTATCTTCCATGAGTGCATGTCGTTAGATGCTCGGACCGCGTTTGAGAAGGCCAGGCAACGGTCCACTGACGTAGGCTCGGAGTTACATTAAGTGAGATACTGAGACTCTTCATTCACCGCCTAAGGATCAATAGACAAGAAAGTCTGACTCGATGAAGAAGCTTGAGATACGTTGTTTCAGGCGGGGCATGGAGATGCGTGTCGTAAGACAAGTCTACTGTCTTAGATGAGTCGGTGATTCTGGTGACCTGTACACGTCGTGGCGGCGGACAGCCATCAGGTTAGTCATGATGCTCTCGACAGTGTTAGCATTGCTGTTGATATAAAGGCAATACACGCTTATGAGTATCTGCTTCGAGCACTCCAAGCTTGTCAAGGTCATTGCCGAAAGCTGCACAGCCAGCCGAGATGAGTGTAAATGTATCTAAAGTTCGCGATGCTTTGAAGAACAGAACGGTGGGCGATTTGTCGACAAATGGTATCTCTTCCTGCTAACTAGTTGAGCTTGAGCTCGTGGTGTATTACCCAAGATCGATGCGGGGAGACAAGGACTTCCGCAAGGAGATCACGCGGCTCTTCGACCTTGGTGTCCCGATGGTCGAGCCCAAGGCGGCCACTACACCGAGCGGATGGATGGAGTATGGGAACATGGTCGTTCGGCGTCCGAGTGGCCGCTCCGAGAACCAAGTTCGCAACCTGCTCCAGGACACCACTCATGTGGCGCTGGTTGTGGAGAATCGGTATGAGGAGTTTGTGCTCAGGACGAGTGAGCAGGAGGTGGAGCTCGTGGAAGAGATCACGGGCGAGACGGTCAGACTGAACATGTCTAAGATGAGCGGGACGATCGGAGTGCTGAAGAGAATTAAATAAGTGAGGGGAGGTGTCACTGTCTGAGCATCTCCGGCTGTACCCCATAGACTGATGAGATAGGTATCATGAGATAAGTATCCATCTGTTGCCCCTCTTTACGATATGATGGAGCCTGGCTCGCCTGGTTTCTTTCTCGGCTTTCATTGCAGTCGGGTTCAACGTTAGGGAGGTGTCGAGCTCTTCCTAAATGCCATACCGAAGCTTATATGTTATGCTCGAGCACGATTGCTTTGCAGCCTTAAGGACTAGGGTGAGAGGAGGAGAACAACTAGGTAGCCTCAGATAACGTTAGCTTGGAAACAACTCGATATGGCAGCGGGGTTGCTGGCTGTTGAGATCGGCGCATTAATGGACCGGTCTAGACCGGTCGGAACGCTGCACGACCGGCCTAGTCCACCTTAGCGAGCCGTTTTGGGATTCTTCACTATCGTCTGCCCCTCTGCCCCTCCCACCCTCATGGACAACTGACTACCTATCACGCCTATGTAGGCTCGCTAGGCTTTCCCATTACTGGACCTCCTGCCGCTGGCCACCTGTTTTTTTCTTCGACATCTAGCTGGAGCTTCAAGGTTGCTCCAAGACTGTGATGCACCTACTCAAGCACCTAGGTACCTACAGCCTAGGTGGCACGGTAGGTAGCTACCTAGGGAATCTTGGAGAATTCTGTCTAAACTCGTACTTTCGCGACCTCCCGTCTGATAGCGACCAGTATGAAGAGCCCCATTAGACACTTGAGCTGGCCGGAACATGAATAGAACGTTAGGTCCGTGTGCGAGTATCGTGTCACGTAGATGTGGCGACTGGATCTCACAGCAAGCTGCCGATGACGACTCGATTACTTAGCTAAGCTGGGTACTGGACTGGGTATTGATGTCAGCCACACCTCATCCCTGCAGCATACCCAGGCCTCCTAGGTAGGTAGGACTGCACCTTCCGCAGGGCGCACGAACCAGGTGAGGCGAAGAGGAAGCAAGACCAAGAGCAAACAAAATGGAAGGACCAAGGCGACTACTATGCAGTAGACTAGAGACTCTAACAAACCAGGTAGGCAGGTGTAGGCCAGCTAACATTCAACCGAGGGCCAGGTATGGCGTTCTGTTAGGATGCGGAAACGTCATACCTCAGCAAGGTAGGTAGGTAGGCAGTCTCGACCATGGCAGGGAAGGTACTACCTAGGCACGCAGGTAAGTAGGTACCTGCCTAGGTACCTAAGTAGGGACAGGTACCCAGGACTTGTATCGTCCTCGCCTGCATGTGTGTTGTGTTAACGTTATGGGGCAGATGTGGCTTTTCCGCATCCCTCGCTTCCCCTTGCCCCTCCTCCCTCCCACCTGCAAGTGCCAAACAAGCAGCATTCTCTCTTTCCCATTCCCATCTGGCCTGGCCATCAACACTACCATGCCAGGGCGCAAATTCCCATCCTAAGGTGGAGGCCGTTGTACCCATACCTAGATAGGTACCTAGGTACATGCCTCTGATTCGAATGCACTTGCCAAAACTTGGTACGTCCCGTCCCTTGTTAGGTCCCAGCTTGGTAGCAATCATCGCTGTCATTCTTGTTCTCGTCCTGATCCTGATTCTTCAGGTTACCGAGCTACCTTGCCTCGAGCGGTTCTTCACCTTGGGACAGCCCAGTCAGTCGATCATTCATTCGAATCAATCCAATCAATCATTCAACCAACCTAACCAACCATATTGCCATTCAGGCATTTTCTCGGTCTCTTTCACAGATACAGATCCCCTCCCCGGCCCCTGTGTCGCCTCTCTTCCCAAGGTTCTCCTCATCACTGTGGCTTCGCACGAGTCGAAATTCACATTCAACTTGAGACTCTCTTCTCTCGCTGCCAGAGATCAGAGACTGCACCAAAATCAAAGTCGAGCGGCCTCGAGTGGGCTGACCGACTTGCCTCCCGCCTCTTTGTCTCTCTCTGTCTACCTACCTACCTACCTACCTACCGAGCGACCGAGCGAGCCTACCTAGCCTGCTAGATAGACTAACTCAAGTCTGACCATTCTGCTCATACTTTATTTATCCATCCATTCCATTGCCTTGGACTCGCGCATCTATCCATCCATCCATCCATCCACCGACCTTACCTACTACCGGTACCCAGGTACACCAAAGTCTAACGCCCCACCCGACGCCCGACTGGCTGGCCGATCGATTCTCCATCCTCCTGGTCGCCATATTCGCTGCGGCTTAGATTTGGATCCAAATTTGGACTTGGATTTGGACTTCACTCCCTGCTTTTTGAGCAATACTTCGCGCGCTCCCGCGATCGCTACTGCGTGCGTCAAAGCATCGCATATTCTCGACATCTCTACCCCGGAACGGAGGCTTGAGCCAGTCTGGCTACAAGCTTAGGCATGTCATGGTCCAGGCCAAGGTCTCCGAACAGTCGCGGGAGAGGGAGACCTTTCGGTAAGTCTTGCGGTTGTGCTTGTGCCTGCATTCACATGCCATCTTGGGCTCAGCCTTCCGCTCATGCCATTTTGCGCTTCATTCTTACCGTCGTTGCGTTCATCTCTTATCTCTTCTTCCATGTATCCCTCCTCTTGTGTTTTGTGTCTTATCCTCCGTCACTTCCCTGGCTGACCATCGCCCGCTCGGCAGATACGGGACGAGTCTAATCACGAAGTCTTTCATCAATGACTCCACCGGCCTTAGCAACGCGGCGGACCTGTCGTCCTCCTCGGACACCGCTCTGACGGCCTTCGCGCAGCTCGGGGCCTTGCGACTCGGCGGCCAACGATGTATGATCTCTCTCTTTGACCAGACTCGCCAGCACATTGTTGCCGAGGCTCCGCCTGATAGTGCCCTCGGTCCGCTCGAAGCCAACGTCTTGGGACAAAAGAGTACAACGCTGTTGTTTTCTGGAACGGCTATTCCCAGGAGCTTCGGCGTGTGTGAGGAAGCCTTGGTTCATGACGAACAGTCCCCCCTCTCCGACAATGTCGTGACAACAGCTGCCGCCAACCTCCATGGCGCTGATCTACCCATTTTGGTGGTGCGTGACTTGCAGAACGATGACCGTTTCAGCAGACGAGCATGGGTTCGCGAGTCCGGACATAGCTTTTACGCCGGCGTCCCCATCCGGACGATGAGGGGCATTAACATCGGTGTCTACTGCGTGCTTGGGGATCAACCGCGCGATGGCCTTGATGCTACGGGAATCCATTTCTTACAGGACATTTCGAACACAGTCATGTCGTACCTATACAATGGAACATCAAGCAAAAACTTCCAGCGCAGCGTACGCATGGTCAGGGGCTTGGGGTCCTTGGTTGAGGGCAAGTCATCCATATCCAAGTGGTGGCTGGAGGGCAACGTCGAGTCTTTCGAGAACGCTGAAGACGGAGAAGGCGCTCTCAACGCTCGACAACAAGCGATCCAGCGCGAGGCAGAGAATCCGATTCCAAGGCCGTTTCCTCTGCCGCAACAGGTGGTTGCCCCGTCGCCTCCCGAACCAACCACCGGGGGCAAGCCCAGTCCCACTCTGTCGACGAGCGACAATAATGGCATTTCTTACATCAGATCAGATACCACCTCTGACACCATGTCACAGGACGGCTCAATCAACACAGACCGCCGCACACCTGGTAGCATTACTGATCCTACCACTACTGCGACATTCCAAGAAGATGAGAACACCATTGCCATCAAGTCGCTTTTTTCCAAGGCTTCTAATATCATCCGCGAGTCTATTGAAGTTGAAGGAGTTTTGTTCTTAGATGCTGTCATCAGTTCCTTTGGCGGGCTTGTCGTTCGTTCCGGCGAGGAAAGCCACAGTACCTCGGGAGACTCACAAAGGGAGATGTTTACTTCGAGTAGCGAGGATAACAAGGATAGAGCCGCAGTGCCAGCAACGGATGTGTTTTGCAGTGTTCTGGGCTTCTTCGTCGGTGGTGTGTCCAGCGTTGATGGTGAGAGGTCAGCATCACCTCATGCAAATGTGCACGAGAAATTCCTGAAGGGGCTATTGCGACGGTATCCAGAAGGGCATATTTTCAATTTTGATGAAAATGGAGCCATACAGTCAGGGGATTCAGAAGACGACGTCGCTGCTGTGCTGTCGTCGGCGCTTCCACCCGATCACACCAAGAAAGGATCGAAGCAGCGGAAACCCAGAAAAACTGAAGGTGATGTTCTGATAAGTATGTTCGCGGGCGCAAGGAGCGTTGCCCTAATTCCACTTTGGGATTCACATAAGGAGAGATGGTTCTCGGGAGGTTTCACCTGGACACGCACTCCGACTCGCGTTCTCTCTGCCCAGGGTGAATTGAGCTATCTCAAGGCTCTTGGAATGGTTGTCATGTCTGAAGTTGCTCGAATCAACATGCTGCGATCCGATCAAGCGAAAGCCGATGTTCTTGGTTCCCTTTCACACGAATTAAGATCACCACTACACGGCCTTATTCTGGGGGCTGAGCTATTACATGATACAACTTTGGACGGGTTCCAAGAAGATGTTGTACTCACAATCGAAAACTGTGGCCGCACATTGGCTGACACGATGGATCATCTTCTGGATTTCAGCAAAGTCAATCATGCCGCCAAAAATCGCGCCGATAACAGAGGACGCGGCTCGCAAAGGCTTACTAGGACAGATGCTGGACTGACAAGTTTAGTCTCAGATGTCAACCTCGCCTCTCTCATGGAAGAGGTCGTTGAGAGTGTTTATGCCGGCTTCAGCTTCCAAAAATCATCCCACGGGATGAGAGCCAGCGGTGTGCCGCTTACAACGGCGTATGCAACGCCAGTACGCCGTTTCGACTCTCTTGGAACCATGGACATGTTCAATCGACCCTCAGCAACGCCACGCTATGGTCCAGTGGTAGCTGTGCATCTGAACATAGACTCGGCCGTCGATTGGGGATTTCATACACAACCAGGCGCTATCCGACGTATCATCATGAATTTATTTGGCAACGCACTCAAATACACAACCCGAGGAAGCATTCACATCTCCTTAACACAGGACTCTTCCACTAGGACGGCCCGGAGCCGTCGCCGCGCCGTTGTGTTGACAATATCCGATTCCGGTAAAGGTATTAGTGCAGAATACCTCCGAACCCAACTTTTCAGCCCGTTTGCACAAGAGGACCATCTTGCACCAGGGGTTGGTCTTGGCCTGAGCCTGGTAAAGCAGATTATTAGCACTCTGAAAGGCACTATCAGCGTTGACAGCGAAGTCGGGCGTGGCACTCTAATCCGTGTAACTCTTCCCTTACGACAATCACGTCCCAACACATTCGATACAGCCACTCCAGCTGAAGCCGATTTCTTGGACCAATCCAATATATTGAAAGGATTGAGTGTCTGCTTCTCTGGCTTTGTCAAATCGGAAGACGCACCGTCGGCCGTCACTCCCACTGTGGGTGATCGTCTTGACCCGAAGACTATTATTGAAAAGATTTGCCAATCCTGGCTACATATGGAGGTCGTCTCCGAAGCCGAACTTGCGTCTGCCCCTCCATATCTCTTTGTATGCCTCGAGGATGCACTGTTAGGAGGCACATCAATCAATATAACAAGCCATATCGGGCCCCCAGTTGTGGTTGTTTGTCGCAATGCTGTGGTGGCCCATGAGCTTGCTGTGTCGCGGGCGTCTAAGACTCGTATCTATGAATACATTTCACAGCCGTATGTTTTTTTTCCCCTTGTTTTCCCGCTTATACGGTGAATCTCCTGCTGATAAACCTAGTGTTGGACCTCGAAAGCTCGCCAAAGTCTTTGCACTCGCTCTCAAACGACACGCAACTTTGTCAGAATCTCTGCCGCAGGGATCTCAACTATCTTTGCAGCCTTCTATTCAAGTAGATTCTAGCCCGCAGCAAGACCTTTCTAATCAGGCCAAGAACCTCAATGTGGGTTCACCTAGCACGATACCTCCAACAGCAACGATCCAGCCCCCATTTCCCGATAGCACTGTAAGGGATGAAGCCACACTAACTCCTTCACAACCAAAGAAGAGATCCACATTCCTTCTTGTGGACGACAATGCAATTAATCTCAAGGTGAGTATGTTTAGAACATGCGCTATTCACAGTTTTGACGATTTTTTTTTTGGCTATCTAGGTGCTGGTCTCATATATGAACAAGCTCCAAAGCCCATATGAGACGGCGATGAATGGACTGGAGGCGCTGGAAGCCTACCGACAAAACCCTGAGATCTATCGCTGTATCTTTATGGGTACGTATAGCCTCATCAGATGGTTCAGAAGCAATCGCTAACATGTCTACCCCCGTAGACGTATCAATGCCCATCATGGACGGTTTGGAGGCATCAAGACTGATTCGCGCGTTTGAACAACAGCAAAAGTTGACCCCAGTTTTGATTATTGCATTGACTGGCTTGGGTTCATCATCTGCCCAGGACGACGCCTTTGCAAGTGGCGTAAACTTGTTCCTGACGAAGCCCGTAAGGTTGAAAGAGCTGGGTCGAGTCCTGGAGAGTCATGCCATGTGACGTGCTCATGGATGTTTTGGTGTAAATCCACGTAAGAACGTGGGAAACGTGGCATATTGATGAGGGTATAAAAGAGGAGCGTCTTTCACATCTACACAGAATAAGCGGAGTTTTCGGTCGATATTGATTACCATCAGGACGCTTCAAGGACTATTAGATACACACCAAGGGGCGTAGGTGGCAACAGATCCTACAAGGGAACGGACGGGGCATTCGGCATATACATGATATCCATTTCGTCCACGGACGCCTCCTGGATTACTAGATCCGATGCATCTGAAGTGCTGGTGGATATTCCCCGGCCAAGACGCGGGTATTCAACCCTAGTTAACAAAAGACTTTTGTTGTGATGCGATTTTGGTGCACGATGCCCTGCCCTCCATCCAGGCTCAGATGTCTCTATCGGTGAAATCTATGAATCCGCCATTGTCTAATAAGGCATGACACCTTGTCGCATAGTGGACATGTATGGGATCGGCGGTGATGAAATAGTCCCGATCCTCAGCTGATGCGAATTCCATCACGAAGGCGTGTGATGCACCGCTCTGAGGGATATTGTAAGCGCAACAGGGCCTTCGCCGTCCGCGATCGATCAATATCACGATAGGGCACTTACATATTTGCCGCCAGGGAGATGGAAGGAGGTGTCCTTGCCGCCCTTGATCGAGAGCATATACGGCCTGCCGGTCTTGGGGCCGAGGCATGTCTCGCGCAGGCTGAGGAGCTCTTCCACAGACTTGTTTGATGATGGAGTCGTCAGTTGGAGTCGAGTGGCTGTGACGCATTTCTTAAATGGATGTGAGTTAGGGAAACATACCTTCTTCACAGATTCCGGACTGATGTCTGATTTGAAAGTGAGTAAGACGATGTGAATGACAGGAGACATTTTTGCTCCTGGCCGAGGAATCGGGATAGAATGCGACAGGAATCGGGCGCTATGAGGATACAACAGGTTGGTCACTGCAACTGTCTCTAAGCTAAATAGTAAACCAAGCAGAGCTCCTGCAAGGCGATGAAAGATCCCGGATAAGAAGCTGATTATGAGCGCCACAATCTTGCGCCGTGGTGAACAATCAGACCTCCACGGCGAAGCTATCGCCGGTAATTCCGTCTTGTGCGTGTGTCTTGCATCCCTGCTTTCCAGAAAACCGGGCCAATGTGACAATTTCCTGCTGTCAAGGCGTTGCTTTTTAGAGTCATGACTGAGGCACGGGAAAGTTTATCGGTGGCCGCCGTCACGCCGACCTTGCCAAGTACCATTTTCCTTTGACGGGATGCAAATGCTTAACAGCGATTTCGAGTAACATCAACATCACAAGGCCTGCTAGTTGAAAATTTTTGGTCTTTGAACAAGTGAATCAACATGACAGTGTTGCCAACGGGCTTTGGGGATGATGAGGTGAAAAATAGAAAAGGACAAAGAACGGCGGGGGCGCAGCATTGCACATCAAAGACCACGATATGAATCGTTCGTCTCAAGGACAATGAAACTGAACTGAACAATGATGAATTGCTTGGTCCTTGGACTCAAAGCTTTTGTTCACTACTCATGAAACCGTGCCAAAGTATAAAATGAAGTGATTTAGCATAGCCGAGAGCCACAACTTTGACTACTATACCGAGAAGACTGAGCATCAACATACAGTTCGAAAAATGGCACCTCAAATCATATACTATTATTTCGTCTGCAAAGGTTGTCGAGACCCGATGCTGCTCGAGGGATGGCGCACACCGCAGCCGGAGCATCCTAAGGATATGGCCGACATTGCCATCAGGACATTGTATTTCGATTTTGACCCAGAGGATCCGGAGAAAGACGATGAGGATGTCAACGAAGACAACGAGGCCACCGTGTTATACGCCATTGCGTCTCTCGAGGACCTCTGCGGGTCCCGGGAGAAGTACATGGCGGCCACGCAGACTGGCCGGTATGGGAGCCAGGCGCTTCGCAAGAAGCTGCTTATGCAGTTTGAGAAATATTTCAGCATCGATACGCCATGCTGTCCTTGCAAGCACTGCCACAAGGAACTGCGCGAGCCGGGTTGGGAGCCTGTGGAGTTCTGCGATGCGCATAATGGTTGCAGCTTGATGTAGATTAAGGTGGATTGGCATCGTCATTGCACTAGCGATGATTAGATACCACAAGAGTCTGCGACGAAAATGCATCGCTCCAAATTCCACTTCCGTCTTTGGACCTGAGCTGCCTGCTGCTTTAACCTGAGCTGAGATGAGCCGAGACTGAGCCGAGGCTGAGCCGATGGGAGCAGCCTGAGCAGCCTGAGCAGCCCGCCGTTTACGGAGGCTGATGCCTATGATGTCCAAGGACTATTTCGGCATGATCCATGCCGAAATATGTAGAGCATAAGGCCTGAAGGACCTTAGTCTCTCCTTTTGTGGGATGGGCAAGGGTGTGAGACTTTGAGTATCCTTGATTGCGCCCTGCTCGAGTGGCAATTTTGGCCACCTAATCCCTCTTGCTGCCTACTTGAGGCGATCGTCGTATCATCTCGCCATCGTGAACGCCGGACGAAGCTCTTGCTTCTTAATCACCATCGTGCTCGGACCTCAAACCTGTCGATCTTGGATCCATCGGCCCTCAAAAACCCGCGATGCATGTTAGTAGTGACGTAGAGCGTAGGTGTTATGGTTACTCCGCCTTGTAGCCCTGTTCTAGCCTCAATTTGGACAACTCATGGCTGGTTACTCTTTTGCATAGCGGTCAGGCTCATGATCCCAATTTCTTGTGACAGCAAGTGTGCGAAATGAGTGGTCAAGGTGGAAATATAGAAGCATTCGACGGGCATGTTGTGTACACTTTGGTACAAGGCCTACAGCCATCCTGGGAAGACTCATTCTATTATTTTACTGCTATTACTTTACTGGTACAGTACCGTAGTTGCTGGGAGGCGACAAATAGTGACAAAGTAGACTCAGAACTGAATTGGACTCATATCCGCCAGGATTGCGTACAGCGCCAAAGATAATGAAAGTCAAATATCATATGAAATCTCAACGCACAGGTTCACGGAAGCGCAATTTCTTGTTCTCCTTGTTCCACCGGTATACCGTACCGGCACTCCACGGGTCCGATGATGTTTTTTTTAATAAAAAAATTCATCGACTGTCCCGGCTGCCTTGAAGAGAGTTGAATCCCATGATCACGTATCTGCCTACCAGACAGTCGCCCTGCCTGGCAAGCAGACAGGAGTGGTGTGGAGGTTAGAAAGAATCTCTAACTATGAATTAGTCGTAGATAGAATATACTATAGAGTAGATAGAAGAAACAAAAAGTTCTTAGTTCAGAGTTTCAGCTAAGAGGTGGCTATGCAGCACAACAACTAAAAATACAGGCACATCCATTTCTCACTTTCCGAGATCAGCCAACTCTCGCAAGTACAGTACCGTATCTGGTGCATTCAAAAAGTAACACGCCCTGTGTGACCTACGCCTGTGCGTGGAAACTCTTTTTGAAGTTCAAACAAAGGGGACACAGATTTCCTCTTCCGATGTCGAAGAAGAACGGAATATCGAATGGAAATGCTTCGGTGCACAGAGAGACGTAGAGGCAACTTGCCCTTCTACTTAGGAGGAAAGTCGCCCTCAGGCGATAACTAGGTGCCAAACATGGAAGCTGTACGCGCGACGATACGATTTGCAATAGCTACAGGTAGGCTGGATGCGAACTGAACAACTAGACTGAATAGCGCTTTCTACACCCGACGACACCACCCAGCACCCCGTAAACAATAGCAGGTGCCGCTTCAGCTGCCGAGGACAGGACACTGAACACTTGGGGAATAGCCACCAAGCAAGCTAGCTAGTAATATAGTCAAACCACGAGAGTCTATAGCGATAAGGAAAATAAGGAAGCATAAGCAAGAAGTGGAAGATGTAACAACTAAAGAATATTAAGATCATGGCTTTTAGAATGGATATATATTATTAATAGCTGTATTTTCGGGCTAGTCACGCCGGGTGTAATAAATTGTGTGTGTATTCGACAACCAATATAATAGAGGTAGGATTGCCTTCGGCCGAGACGATGACTATGTATTCTATGCCCCCAATATTTGTGGGGCCAGGCATACCGTCATATTAGGATATGGTACAGGATATGGTATAGGGTTAGCAGAAGCCCCTTCCCAGCTAAGGCTTCGAAACACTGGTTTGGGTTGCTTGTTGTTGCTGTTCAATCTAAGTATCCTGACTCATTCATGGCGCTGATAACAATGGCAGGGTCATACTGGTATAGTATAATCCTTTATATTACAATCACCTAACAGCTAGAACTGGGACTAACAGCTGACAACAAACTAACAGCTAACAATAGACTAACAGCTAACAGTAAGCTAACTAATAATTAAGGTACTTAACTATATAAAGCTTGTCTTATACTTACTGTAAACAATCTAGTTTTCTAATTAGTTTGTTTTAATATATATTGATACTTTATATTAATTATAGTATAGTATTATAACAAAAATATATATCTTTATTTTATCTAGTATTTTTATATTATAGCTTAATTATCTAACGTCTTTACTTTCCTTTTTTTATCTTTCTTTATTTATCTTATAATACAATCAGTTATATAAGAGCTTTATATACTATCTAAATAGCTATCGAATCTTTCTCTAACATATAAGATAGTCGCTAAAGATGCTTTAATCAAGATAGTTAACTATAAAATATCTTTTATCTAGCATCCTACTTTTAGTTTCTCTTTATACTTCTTATTATCTATAAGAATGGCTTATATACTATATATATTAGCTTCTCTTACCCTCTTATATTATATTTATCTTTATTATTTCATCTTACTTTATAAACATCTTACTTTAAGGCTTTTATAATGTTCTTATTTTCATATTCTAATTATATATTAGTCTTTAAGCTTTTAGATATAAAGTGGTAAGATACTATCATTTTATAGATATAGACTAGTTATAGCAGTGATTTTCGATAGGCTTTTAATAAATTTATTAGATTATTATAATCATTTATATAACAATCCTTTCTATCAGTACGTCGATAGATAACTAAAGGGCCTTAGTATAACGATTCTTTCTACTAGTATATTGATAGATAACTAAGGATCCTTAGGTTTATATCCTAAGATAGGTTAAAAATACTTAAACAATATTTACAAAAATAGATAATTATAATGGTTAGATTTTATTAATTATAGAATCAAACTATAGTATTAAAAGCTAAAGAGTTAAACTTTCTTTATCTAAGTCTATAACTATAGATATAGTTTTATATAAAATTATAAAGTTTTAGATTACTTTTAATGATAGTAAGCTTTAGTATATAGTTTACTTAAAAATCATTATAATTTATTTATAATCTATTTTATTTTATCTATATATAACTTAATTTCTTATAAATATTTACTATAAGATTTCTAACAATAGCTTAGTTTTTAATTATAATATAATATCTTTCTTTAAGGTTAATATCTTAAAGACTTAGTTAAATATCTAGATATTATCTATCTAATTTATTTGATCAGATTTAGCTTAGATCACTTTATCCAATACATCATAAGATACATAATAAGATATAATATCATTGTCTCTTTTTATAGTAACGTACTTACATAGCGAGTAGGCTAGTAGACCAGAATAGGCTACTTTCGTACGCTATATCACCTTTATATAAGTTATTTCCATTATAATAACTTAAATCAATTAAAACTACTTAAAATCCTTATCCTTAGATATTTTTATATTTAATTGACATATTTATATATTATAGTTAGACTTTCTATAATTGCTATAATATCGAATATATCGTTAGTCCCTCTTTATATAATCTTCTCTTTTATTTATTTTTATATTATCTTTAGCTATAAGGCTTTTTTTTCTTATATTTATTCTATTTTTTGTTATAATAATGATTCTTTTTATTAAAAATATATTTTTTTTAGCTTTTTAATGTTTGCTTAGTATTTTATTTACTATCTAAAGGTTTTAGATTTTTTACTTTATTAAGATGATTTTATATATAATCTTCTTTATACTTTATATAAGAATATTAATCTTATTATAAATATATAATAATTTATTACTTATATAATGGCGTATAGTCATGACAGTATATACTCTGCTAGTGAGACTATAGAGAAAACCTTCTGAAGAGGCGTTGTAGGCTAACTTATAACGATCCTTCCTATCAGTACGTCGATAGATAATTAAGGGTCCTTAGGTTTATATCCTAAGATAGGTCGAAAGGTACTTAAGTAATATAACATATAGGGTGATTATAGTCGTAGAGACCTTCTTTATAGGTAAAGAAAATGTATTGAAAGCTAAAGAGCTAGTCTCTTTATTTTTAGGTTTATGATAGTGAGCGTGGTCTTATATAAAACTATGAGTCGTTAGATCATCGTGATCCCTTGGTAATCTAACTAGTGATCTATTGCTTGGATCACCGTACCTACATGATGATCCTTATCTTCTATCTACATATGACTCTGATTTCTGCCTTGTCAGGCCGCCGGCCGCTTACCGTGGGGTGGTCAAACTTCTGGCTGTGACATAACTGTTGGCTTCAGAAGGCTCTTAACTAACTATTCACCCCTCTCACCAGAGGCTTCTAACTAGTATCTAAGGCTTTCTAACTATAGGGCCTCTTCTAGGGTGAAAAACTCTAATCCTTGTCTCCTTATATTCTTCTTAGATAGTGTCTTCGATTCATACGAACAGGATTCAGCTCTTTAGAAGGTAGCTTGTTGGTTGGTTGGCTCTTTTAAATGGTAGGGTTTCTTCAGTTTGACTAGTGTCAATTGACTATAATAATATTATTAAGCTATTTTTAAAGTGATAAACCTACTTAGATTCATTCTCTAAGGTAGGTTGCTAATTTTACACTAATTGGCAAGATAAAGTAACTTTTCTTAACATCCTTTAGTACTATTTCTAGCTAAAGTATAGGCTCTTCTCACTAGATATTAATATATAGCCTTTAATAGCTGGCTATCCTACTTTTGTTAGATACTATCTCTCTATAATGCTATCTAGTAGGACTCTAGAGACCTTCTAAGGATAGATAAGGTCTTTAGAAGGCTATTTAGCTTCTTACTTTCCAAA